ACATACTGTGGCATATGTGCTCAAAGAAAGAACAGTGGAACCAGATAAGCAGCCGTTGCTAGGTAACGGCTGTGTAACGTCAGTGAAGTAACTCTTGGAAGCGGTGTTTTCTGTGTCGTCCGTGCCGAGGATATATATAACGACGACCAGCTGTCATTACGAGAGTGCGAGATGTACACTTGACGAAATGCCAAGCATATTCATAGGAGACAACCCCATCTTCTCGTCAAAGAGGATGTTACATAAGGACTACTACCGCAAGAGTTCAAAATTTTCTTGTCCTGGGTCACAAGGGTCTTGAGGCCAAGACGAACTGATTGGCGGTAAACCGCCAGTCGTAAAGTAACTCTCAGTTTGGCTTTGGCTTACGAGTGCCTTGTCTTGAGACAGCAGGTAGAAGAGGAGGAGGTCGGTGTGAGATGACCGCCAGCCTGCGAGGACGTGAGTCCGGGAACAGAACACTAGTCTGTGTGATAGTTGGCACTAACTTCGCCGACAAGCGGCGGTTACTCGGTCGGTATAGTTCGCTTGCGGACTACAGGCCACGGATTTTATGTAAGCCGTTGTCAGTGCACTTTTCCTTGGAAATTGGTGTGTGGTGCTGTCTCATGCTCGTTTTCTGTAAGGGGTAAGTACAGTAATGTTCTGTATTGACGTTTGGTTCGTTTGAGCTGAAGTGCTGGATTGTGATGGACTTGTTTATTTTATTTCAATTGGTTGGGCGGCCTGGAAGTCGGGGTTTGTTTCCCGGCAGGGACAGTGCCATGGCGACTTCATTCTCAGTCCACGGAAACTAACGTTTGGTGCTTTGCCACAAACAGCGTAGCACAGGCTGGCGGGCGGACATGGAATCCCAATATGAAATTTAACAGAACCTGTCCAGTGGTCCTTGAACTGCGAAATGACACTGCATAAACATAATTTTCTTTAATTATCTTGAAACCCGAAAACCAATGAAGACAGTTGAACGGGCATAAAGGGCGTGTTTGGTTGTCTCTCCAGCTCTTTTTGCAAAACTTTTTTCGGCGCATACTACAATTCGTGTGCGCACAGAAGGCACATTTCATTTTATTACCCTCCTATCGTTATTTTGGAAAGGAAAAAGTACGCTTACGCGATCTGTTTGTCTGAGACCTGGTTTGTAGGTATATCATGGCACCTGAACCTATCTCAGCGGCGTAATGCATAAATATCCCCCATTAATCTGCGTGTCTGCATGTTTATCTCCCCTGTGGTTCCAAGCAACAGCTTCGTGGAAACTTTACCGTGGAAACCAGTACACACGTAGCTCTAGAAGTATTCTTTCTATGCGTAGAAAGGAATTTGAGCGATTAGTTCTTCCCAGAAGTTGTATTTTATTTTGTCTCATTTTTTCTAAGGGCACGCGGTAATTGGTTGAGGCACTATGCTACGAGCTGGAAGGTCGTAGGTTCGATTCCCAATGAGGTCACTGGGTTCTACAATTCACCTAATCCTTCCAGCCGTACTATGGCCTTGATGTTGACAGCCTCTTACAGAAATGAGTGCCAGGAATCTTACGGGGGGGGGGTAAAGGGCAGCCGGCGCGTGGTGCTGACCTCACCACCATCTGTGAGCCGATTGTGAGAGACTCGACGTCTCAAAACCCTATGAACCTCCATGGCCTCTTACAAGGATAGTTTTACTTAACCTCACCGTGAGCCGAATATCTAGAAAATGTGGGAACCTCGACGTCTCACAACCCTTTGGGCCTCCACGGCCTATTACAGGGATAGCTTTACTTAACCTCACCGCCATCTGTGAGCCGACTGTCTAGAAAATGTGGGAACCTCGACGTCTCACAACCCTATGGGCCTCCACGGCTGTTACAGGGATAGCTTTACTTAACCTCATCGCCATCTGTGAGTCGATTGTCTAGAGAATGTGGGAGCCTCGACGTCTCACAACCCTATAGTCCTCCATGGCCTGTTACAGGGATAGCTTTACTCAACCTCACCGCCATCTGTGAGCCGATTGTCTAGAAATGTGAGAGCCTCGACGTCTCACAACCCTATGGGCCTCCACGGCCTTCTACAAGGATGGCTTTACCTTTTTTATTATTTTCGATGTTCTTTTAACGACGCTTTCTATTGGTAATGTTATATGGTTTCGAATTGCAGCTAATTAGATGATAATGAATTGTAGGGACACTTGTCGCCCCATTTGGATGGACGAACTCGGGGAAAACCACGAGAAACATAACGGTAAGTGATTTCGGAGCCCTCCGAATACGAGGCAGGGCTGTTAAACGCTAGACCGCAACGTTCTGAGAGATCCCAGTGATATATGCGTCTGCAAATTATTGCTCTATCCGTCTGTACATGCATTATCATATGATATCAACAAATTGGGACTTCTTATACATTAAAATTTTTGTCATATCCCCCCGCCACGAAGGGTAATGATTTCTATATGTGAATGTAATTTTATCTGACTGCATTGTTCCCTGGAGGGGGTTGCTGCACCGACCACACCGGACCTCTCTGAGTCATTACCCAGCTTTACCCGTAATGGGTTATGCACGCTATAAACATACAAATTACTGAACGACTGAATCGTGTATTTGCTTTCCATCACGAAATCTTATTTTGGTTTCTAATATGAGGCCTCAATGTTGCGTGTACGAATGTGTACGGCCCGTTGACAATTCAGCGGCGAGTCTCTTCGTACTATAACTTCTCGTGTTTGCTCCCGTATTTTTTCCCAGAATAGGATTCTGAGGGAAGCATCTACGCCCAAGAGGGATGAATTCGGGGGATGGAGAAAATTATGCGCTGAGGGACTTAATAACCTTTACTCTGCGCCAAATGTAGTAACTGGTATGATGAAGTCATTGATGCTGTGCAGGACGCGTAGCGTGAATGAGAAGAGGAAGGTATGCAGGGTTCTAGCAGGAAAATCAGAATGAAGGAGATTGCTAGGAAAACGTAGACTAGATGATAGGATAATATTAAAACGGATCATAGAAATAATGTGGGCCGTTATGGACTGCATTAATTAGGTTGAGAATAAGGACCATTGGAGGGTTTTTGTGAACACGGGAATGAACCTTCGGGTTTCGTAGTATGTCGGGAAATTGAGATGCTGCTTATGTGGCGGCTTCTGAAGGACTGAGGTCCGTGTAGTCAGCCATTTCTTATTAGCGCAGCATGTTACTGAATTATGTGTCGAGAGGAAACGTTTAATGTCATGTCCCACGAATAACACGCACTAATAGTCAATCGTAAAGCTTATTCTTTATATGATATAGTGCATTTCACATAACCACATCAAAATATTACCATTAGTCAATGAATAGACACGACACACTGAAATGAATTGTGGCTTGTTCGTGACCTTCTGCCTAACTTATGTTCATGCAGCGTGGTAAAGCTCGTCACTTTGTTGCTATGGCAACATGATAACCCCGAACGTAAGTGATTAGAATTATATATATCTCACACTTACAGAACACACATATATACACATACGAGGAGAGCCAGTAAATAAATAACAAATGGACGTAAAACGTAAAACAAGTGAAATTGAAACCTGAAAAAATAACATTTATTTCTCGACGTATCCACCACCAACATTGATACACTTGTCCCAGCGCTTTACCAGTGCATCGAAACACGCAGCATTGAAGTCTTTTGACTGTTGTCTCAGCCACTTTCACAACTCCATTTCTAGCGCTTCCTCATCAGCGAAACGCTTGCCACCCAGTTGTGAACTGCTTCATTCGACAGACACTTCCACCATAAACAGGAAACATTTTATTATTTATATATTTTGCCCACCAAAGAAGCACAACAGAACGCTGCTCTTCGGTATTACACTCCTCAAGCACGGTCGCCATTTTGACGACCGAAACCAGCCTCTAAATATGCGCGTCTGCTACGTAGGCTGTCATGAAGCTGGACTGTGCTGCTAACTAGTGATACATATGGGAAACCTGTTACGTCCATTACAGCTCTTCTACTTCAATTTATGACACACACACACACACACACACACACACACACACACACACACACTAGTGTCCACATTCANGCGCGACAAGAAATTGTGTGGGTCTCGGATTTGGACGAATGTTTATTGGACAATCACTTTTTACACTCACTAATGCAGTTATGCGTACGTATAACGCCTTCAGACGTTTCATCTTCAAAGGTACGTGCACCGGTAATCTCGGCGGAGCGTCTTGGCTCTTCGTTCTTCGAAGCTGGCCTGACTCCTGCTCTAGTCGGATACGAACTGACTGGGTCCTCTGAACTGTTCTTTGCTTATATCCTACGCTCGGACGGGATAGAGACCATCTTGTCGAAAGGTTCATTTTCACTGTTAGCTGGTCTATCCGTTGCCACGGGAATTCAGCATTTCTGCTTCTGTTGGATAGGCGGTTTCCTGGGTAGCATGAGTTCTCATTGTTGCGGGGCGATGGATGTCATATAGTCCGGCTTTCAGGCAGCACGTCACAATTTATATACAAGCACATGCGAAGTTCTGGGAAGAACCAATTACTTGCTATCCTTTTAATACGACACGAACCGCGTTGAGAACGACGCGGCCAAGTATTCTTTTGTTCAGAATTACTGTGGTATTCTAGAAAATAGAGAACACGACATTTCGGAAACTGGATCTGTTTCCTTCCGCAATGTGAGGGAGGGAAGACAGCTACTCAGTTGGGTCCCTTAGGAAGGACTAACCTCAATGACTGGACAACCCCGTGTCAGATTCACACGGCTAGTCACCTGAAACGAGGCAAATTCGGCGGATATAACAAGAAAATACGCAATGAGAATTGTGATAAAGCACCCACAGGCATGGAACTATGATAGAAAAAGAGGTAGAAATTTGTGCTACAAACCTAGCCAACAAAACCAAATGCACGAGCACCAGTGCAAAGGAATGGGGTAAAAAATTGTGAAGACTTTTTACCATTTCTGGGGGTTAGTTCTGTTATTGACTTCTGCTGCTAATTTTTGGGTTTTCCGTTGCAGGTGTCGCGGGACTAGACGTGACCTTGGAGTTCACCCGCGAACCACAGGATGTGGTAGCGGTGCGCAGCAAGCCTCTAGTCCTGCAGTGTGCGGTGTCGAACTCTGCTCCCGGCCCGGTGAATATCACCTGGACCCACGAGGGTGAGCCACTTCCGCTAGTCAACGACTCCCGCCGCTATCTGCTCCCCAATGGCTCACTATACTTCAGGAAGGTAAGTTTTGGGTTCGAGACTTCGACCTGCACGCCCTTTTTTCCGGTATATTTAGTAGGTGTTTTATTTTTCCTTAGATAATTATCATAAAACGTGCATTGCACCGTACCCACTGGTACCGTTTAAAAAAGAAAAATTTTGTTATCAGTATGAGTGATTCTCCACGGGGATTTGGATTGGTTATTGGATTTATTGACCACTTTAGCACACAACTCGTAATTACACTTAATTATAGCGGCATCGTTGCTCTCCACACTTCACAGATCACGAGTGCACACAGACTAGTATTCTTAGCCTGTTACAGTTGTCATTAGCCATTTCCTGGTGACGGATTCTAACAATGGCAATTCCTCTGCTTCTGGGCTCAAGCATTCTGTCGGCTCTCTACCAACTGAAATATTCTTCCATTTTCTCCTCCTCCACGACTTGCAGACTAAGTAAGCTACTTTCTTGAGCAACCTGTGCCTGTGTGGGTGCAGATGCACTCCGTATCGCCTAATGCAGTGTTCCGCAACCGATGTCACGCGAACTCTTACCTATTGTAAGAAATTAATTGTCTAATTTTATTCGTTTTATTTTGTCCCAGTTACCGTGTTTCATATGCTTGTATTTTAATTCTCAGCCACTGCACTGATTAAATAAGATGATGCTTGTTTATTCCTTATTACATGCCGTGATTTTTTTATGTACAGTAATGCTGTGTTTACTCACAGTTGTTATATCATAGTTTCATTATTGATTTATTTTTATTTTTTGTCGCATCTACGCGGCTTCTTTGATATACTTGTCGCATGTTCTGTGTACGTGCTTTTCCCTAAAACTGCGGGGATTAGCAAGGGTTTCCCTGTCTTTTATAACGCTGTTTTGCTGTTTGTTAGAAGTTAGAGCTTCTTCAACTTTATGATGCACCCACCGATTGTTGGACTTCATTTAAAATTATAAATATTTAAAAATTAGTCCGTATATGTGTCACTTCTTCCGTTTGAGGAGTAGAGGTCCCGCGTCTTACAATTGTTTCAGTTCTATCACAGCTGTGCTCTGAAGTACACGTAGTTCGAAATTTGTGGTTGCTAGTTAGTCTTGCTATTTTCTATTACTATTAGACTACTTTATTTTTTTCATGCTGGATAAATTCCTTATACGGAGTGTTTCGTCCACGAGTGCAAGTAGTGAAAGTATTGAGCCCGAAAAAAGAACAAAAATTAGTACCCCGGCAGTATAGTGATAATTACTTATCTTACGGGTATTTTTGGTGTGGTGATAAAACGTGCCCAATCCCCCAATCCCCAATGTATCATTTGTGGTGAAATCTCAGTAATGCTGGTATGGTTTTCAGTAAATTGAAGCGACATTTGTCAACAAAACATTCTTCTCTCTCAAGCAAAGGTGTCAGTTATTTTCGTCGCTTGTTGGAACAAAACAAAAAACCAAGAACGTTAATGACTGCGACAGTACGCGTTTCAAAGAAAGTACAGGAAGCAAGTTATAAGGTAGCCGAAATTATCGTAAAGGCCAAAAAACCACACACAATAGCTGAAACGTTGTTAATGCCTGCTTGTAAAAAGATGGTGAAAATAGTCCTGGGTTCAGAAGCTGCTAGTGAAATTTCAACAATTCCTCTCTCTGCTGACACAATCAGTCGCCGAGTTACTGACATCTCCAGTGACACTGAAGCCATTATGAAGGAGAAAATCAACAGCAGTCAGAAGTTCTCGCTTCAGATCGACGAGTCCACCGATATCAGCGGCCACGCACAACTTCTTGCTTACATTCGATACATCGATGGAGATGTAAGTGCAACAAATTAATTTTTTTGCAGAGAACTTCCCGAGCGAGTCACCGGTGTCACTAATGAATATGTGTTACATAATGAATTAAAATGGAAGGATTGCGTTAGTGTTTGTTCGGACGGAGCCGTTACTATTACAGGCCGTGTTAAAGGATCTGTTGCTAAAGCACGCAAAGTAAATCCTAACATACGATGCGGCCATTGTCTCATTCACCGGGAGCCAATGTTGCTAAGTCTTTGCCATCTTCTCTGAAAGTTGTGCTGGACGAAGTAGAAAAAGTCGTGAACCTCATCAAATCGCGGTCCCTAAATTCGCGGCTCTTTCCCGTTTTGTGTCAGGGAATGGAATCAGAACACACTACACTCCTACTACATACAGAAGTACGGTGGTTATCGCGAGGAAAAGTGTTCACGCGAATATTTGAACTTAATGAGGAGGTACGTGCAGTTCTGGCTTTTGAGGGGCATGAGTACGCGGATTAATTTGCGGATGATGAATGGGTATGTAAGTTGGCATATCTTTCCGATATTTTCGTACACTTGAATGAGCTGAACAGAAACATGCAAGGTAGGAACGAAAATATTGTAACTAAATATGGATAAGATACAAGGAATTGTAAATAAGCTGAATTTGTGGATACAGAGAATTACAGATGGGTCGTTTGAGATGTTCCCGACTGTATGGTCACTTGCTGACGGCAATAAAATGGCGATGGACACAATTAAAGAACATTTAGAAATGCTGCAGCAGAAATTCAATAAGTATTTTGGAGAGAGTGTACAAGATTTCGACTGGGTTCGTGATCCATTCGTTGCGAATTTAGAACATCTTCCGATTAATATACAAGAGGAACTCGCAGATTTAAAAGCAGACAGAACATTGAAACAAACTTCTCGAAGTGCCTTTGGATACGTTTTGGTTGGCAATAAGGAGTGAATACCCGGCTATCTCCGAGATGGCAGTTAATGTGTTATTGCCATTTTCAACTACATATTTTTGTGTCTCCGGATATGACAACTCCATATGGAAACCGATAAAAAGCAGAAATAAACCAACAACATCCACACCTCCACTGAGAAAAAACACAAACCTCCTGGACCCTGAGCAAAAAATGACCAAGAAAAGGCCGAACTGTTTGCAGAACATCTAACTGAAGTTTTCACACCACTAAATAATAACAGAGACGTAAACGTCGACCAGATTCTCAACTTACCCATCCAGGATCAAGAACACCCAATACATTTCAACCCGAAAGAAATAAGGGAAGAAATTCACAGGCTAAATACGAAAAAGACGCCAGGAGTTGATCTCATCACAGCCACACTACTAAAGGAACTCCCAAAAAAGGAAATACTCACTCATGTACATATTCAACTCCATCTTAAGGAATGGCTACTGGCCCAAACCATTAAAAATCGCACAAATAATAATGAGTCCAAAGCCTGGGAAAAATCACACTGACGTAACAAGCTACCGTCCAATTAGCTTGTTACCCATAATATCGAAACTTCTTGAAAAGCTTATCCTCAATAGAATTAATCACGACGCCAATCCAAATGACTGGATCCCTAACCACCAATTTGGCTTTCGACAGGCACACTCCACAGTACAACAATGCCACCGAATAGCTAATATAATCAACCAAGCTATGGAAAACAAACAATACTGCACTGCTGCCTTCCTCGACGTAAGTCAGGCATTTGACAAAGTTTGGCATCCAGGCCTGCTTTATAAAATCAGAAGAATTCTACCGGCGAAATATTTCGCAATACTGCAGTCGTTCCTAACAGACAGAGAATTCGAAATAAAAATAAACTCTGAAGTATCCAACCGAAGAAACATACAATCAGGAGTTCCTCAGGGCAGTATCTTGGGTCCACTCCTCTACGTGCTATACACCTCAGATATACCGACCACCGAATTAACAAAAATAGGTACGTTCGCAGACGACACAGCAGTTTTCGGTACGTCAGAATACCCGGTAATTGCTTCATCTAATTTACAAGAACATCTGAATCTAATGGAGAAATGGCTAAACCGATGGGAAATCAAAGTGAATGAAAGCAAATCGGCGCATGTGACTTTTACTCTCAGGAAAGGCAACTGCCCCTCAGTACATCTAAATCATGTTAACATTCAACAACAGGATGTAGTAAAATACTTAGGACTACACCTGGACTCAACATTAAACTGGAAACACCATATAACGAAGAAGAGAAAACAAATCGAAATTAAGTTCAAGGAAATAAATTGGCTAATAGGTCGGAAATATCACCTCACAATAGATAATAAACTACTGATCTACAAAACAATAATTAAACCCATATGGACATACGGCATTGAGCTCTGGAGATGCGCCAGCAAATCCAACATAACAATCATCCAGCGAAGTCAATCCAAAATACTTAGAGCCATAGTTGACGCACCTTGGTACGTGTCAAACCAAACTCTTCACACCGACCTCAAGATCCCATATGTAAGAACCGTAATCACATACAGAATCCAAAAACATTATCAGAAACTGGAATCTCACCCCAAAAACGCAATAGAAGCTCTCCTTCAACCTGCACAATACAGAAGACTAAGACGAACTTGGCCAAACGATCTCCAGGAAAACTGAGGCGTAATCGATGGATTACAGCTCTTCAAGCCAACTTAGTACAATAGAATAATTATTGTACATGACAGCAAATTAGCTCATAGAATGTAAATTCAGATTGCTAATAAATGATTAAAAAAATATTTTTGTGAATTGGGCTTCTCGACGTTAACTGAAATTAAGACATCAAAGAGGGAGAGGCTCAGATCCATCGATGAAGAAATGAGACTTGCGTTGTCAACGATTCCACCACGGATCAGTCGCCTGTGTGCAGCTGCAGGTTTGAGTAGAATTATTTACTTTAATAGTAATAGAAGTGTATCTTCTACACTCTGCAATGAATTAAAGTTCATTAACTGTTAATAAATGCACGAGTTGTTTCTGTTTAATGATTATAAAATAACAATATAATAATATTATATTAATAAGTTGATCACGTTACGTATTTATATTAATTGTCTGTTATCTTGCGTTTTTGAGGGGAATAACATTTTGGTGTGCTGTGTTGAGTCATGGATACTTCATGGTGTGCCACAAAAAAAAAAAAAGGTTGCGGAACACTGGCCTAATGAATCGGAAAGTGTTTGGGAAATAGCTAACGGGGCCGTGACACCAATATTGAGGAAGTAATGAAAAACCACGAGAAACTGTCAGGGCGACGCGGTGTCCTATCCGAGACTCTAAACAAGCATCTCCCGAACTATACGAGTGTAGGGCGCCACCCAGTCGGTTTGCATGTGCGACGTCTTAAAATCTCCTCGTTCTGAATTCTTTAATTGCAGCAAGAGACCAAGTTCGTGCCCATACAAAACAACAGATAAAATTACTGTTATATATATTTTAAGTGGGACTCGGGATAGCTCGGTCGTTATAGCGATGGGCTACGGGGTGGAGGGCTGAGGTTCTATTCCCTGTGTGGCAAGATGTTTTCTCTCTTCCACAGCGTCCAGAACTGCTCTGAGGGCCCACCCAGCCTCCTATCCAATGGGTACAGGATGCGATTTCCCCGAGTATGAAGCGGCCGAGGCGTGAAGCTGACCGCTCACCTCCATCTAGTCCCGGGCTCAAGAATAGAGGAGCTATACCTCCACTCCCCGAAATGTCATCATGGCGTAGTGTTTAATTAAGCATAGGAAGAACTTTACCTTTCTTAAAAATATTCCGCTTTCGTCTTCAGTGCCGAAGAATAAGCCACTCAAGAGATCAGAATGTTGTATGTAGTTAGCAGTTGGAGGATGTAGGCGACACGTTCATCCGAAACGTCGGTTGACTTTCGGTGGAACTCTTCGTTTCTACCGCGGTGAGAACCTCAAATCGTGGACCCTCAGTCTATGTTCATGCCTGAGTCCTCCTTCCACGCCCTTACAATACAGGATTGCCGGTCTGCCATGCCCGGAATTGCAAACGAACATGCATCTGAATTAGACTGGAAACACATTGAAACCGCTTTTTCCTGCCTGCTATTTATTTTCCACAATTCACATAATCTCGTGGATTCATTCAATTTTTTTTATTGTGCAAAAACTAAGTTAAGAGCGTTTTCAGTGGCGTACTACGTCTAAGTTCTTTAATGGTCAACAAACGGGGCACGCTGTAGCTTAGTTGGTTGAACCACTATGCTACAAGCCGGAAGGTTGCGGGTTAGATTCCCGAAGAGGTCAACTGACCTAATCCTTCCATCCGCACCATGACCCACGGGTCAACTCAGCCTCTAACAGAAACGAGTACCAGGAATCTTCCTGAGGTTTAAAGGCGACCGGCACTTAAGGCTGACAACATCACCGCCATCTGTTAGCCGATTGTCTAGAAAATGCGGGAGCCTCAACCTCTCACAATCCTGTGGCCCTCCACGGCCTGTTACAGGGATAGCTTTACTTAACCTCACCGAAATCTGCTAGCCGACTGTCTGGAAAATGTGGGAGCCTCGACATCTCACAACCCTATGGACCTCCACGCTCTGTTACAGGGATAGCTTTACTTTTTTATAAATCACGTTCTCACGTTTAGTATGTAAGCCTGTAATATTGCGTAGGAAAACGTCGGTTCTGGAGATCAGAGCTCTCTTAAGTAAACAAATGGAATTGGCAGCAGAACACGCATTTTGCGTATTGTACATTGTAACCAGCGGAGCGGAATTCTTCTTGAGAAGCCGCCAGTCGCTCAGCTACTTAAGAATTTCCAAACAATTTTTGGAACTGTCGCGTTCACAAGAGGCCTCCACTGGCCCGTGTTCTGAGCCGGAAGAAGCCAGTTCACACTTAGGCACCCAGTACTGCTACCCTGAGGCGTGGCCCTTCTGCACGTGTATTGCCATCACAACTACGAATGGGTGTTTCTACTGGTCCGTAACCATTGCAGTTTGGCTTGTTTCCTATGATGCAATAGTTTTGATCGGCCTTCGTCGAACCGTGGCTTGTGCTGAGTGAGGGGAACCAGTAAAGTCCTGTCAGGTCATCCGATGTCCGACCCGAGATTCGAACCGAGCACCTGCGAAATACGAACACTTCCTTACCGCTACGGTAACCGCCTCGCTTCCGGTTAGTTCTTATCGGATTTCGAAATGAGTGTCTTCTGGCCTGTAACGCCGTTTAGCCCCGGCGGAAGTCAGCGGACGTTTCGGAGGAACGTTCCTTTGGCTTTCGTCGGACTGCATGGCGTTATATCACAGCATACAGAACTCTTCCTAATCGCAGCTGCGAGAATTTCGAATCCAACAGCAGAACAGACTATTACTGTTATTATTATCATCATCATCATCATCATCATCATCATCATCCCTTTCTCGCCGCATAATGGCATAAGCACTGGAAATGTATTTATATTACTTTTCCCACCCATTAATGATAACCTTAATATTTCATGAAATTGATATTAATTTATTACTGGTATAAAAACTGCCTTATTTTGTATTTTGTTTGTTATTTTCGTTCCTGGCTACAGTTCCAGAGATCCCGAGTTCGATTCCCGGCGCTACCAGATTTTGTGAGAAGAAGTGGGTACGGAACGGGGTCCGCTCAGCCTCGCAAGGATAATTGAGGATTTATTTCAAGGAAATAGCCGCTCCGATCCAGAAAACCGAGATGAAGGGCCGTGGGGATCCTTTAGGCTGACCATGCGACACCCTCTATCCGCAAGCACTATTTATTATTATTATTACTATTAGAGGGGGTGGGTTTCCCATGCACTTAGACCAGTTATTGGTCCATTGTGCGTCCCCCTTTAATTTCTACTGTCGCCATAACCTACCGGTACAGGTGCGTGCTATCAGCCCCGTTCGGCCAACGAGGTCGGCCCTCGGTACCTGATATTTCCCCCATCTATCAGAGGCATTGGAAACTACTTGGGCGGGAAATCTGTTGCTTAATTTTGCTCAGAGGTCTCATAGAGACATGGATCTTTCACGTGCCGTAAATCTACGACACGGGACCCACGGCTTAAAGGCCCTCCCGGAGGACTTGTTCCCTGAATTTTTCCGCCCTTAAAAATTCCACGACCCCCGCAGGGTTTGAACCCGCGTACCTTGAGCCATGAGGTGGGAACGTTACCCCTAGACTACGGAGGCCGCTTCCGCAAGCACTAACTTCGCCGACAAATGGCGGTCGCTTGGTCTGTATAGTTCGCTTGCGGACTACATGCCACGGAGTTTTATTATTATTATTATTATTATTATTATTATTATTATTATTATTATTATTATTATTACTATTACTGTCCCTCTTCTCGGTGCCCCCTTGCTACCAACGTGGTGGGTAAATATCTCGACATATTTGCAGACGGAGCGGTTTCTCTGAAACATATTTTACAAGCATGTACCAAACCTTTTACGGTGTTACTTGATTAGTGTTTTCATTACCTACAACTGTATATACCTCGGATAACTTTGATTTTCTTATGTAATTGGTTTTAATTTTTTGACTTGTTATTAATTTCATTCTATCACTCCCAGTTGTCTTATCTTAGTATTTAGTTACTAATAGTATTAGCAACATTCGTAATATTTCATAAATGTATGTATATATTTCAGTCTTCTTTAGATTTATGTTCACAGATTTATTTGTCATATTTGTATTTTGTTTTATAATTTTCTGTACCTTATATACTCGTGCTAACTTTGTAATTGGCCACTGTGCTGTTAAGTTATTGCACGTAAATAAACATGAATTGAATTATTATTATTATTGTAGACGTCTAGCGTAGCGGTACAATCTAGTTGTGGGCTACGAAACATAAGCTAGCCGAAGTGAGTGCCCACGAAATACGGAATATTGTGCAGTGACTTCTAAACAAAGCTCTCGAGACAAAAGCAGAAGTGATGTGACTCTGGAAGTGTGTCTCTTACTGGGTAAGAAGAAGACGCTAGGCACAGATGCATCGGTCGATGCGGTTGTAAAGCAAGTTGTACGGCCCCCCGAAAATCTGATAGTAACTCAGCTTGTCAACAGTTTCCTACTCTCAAGAAACCATAGGGTAGTTATTCTGTTTAAGCTAGTGTGTCCTGACCAAGCTGAGTTCGTCTACATCCTCGCAGGTCCTTCTCTAAGATCCCCTTCCGTATCAACTCCGTATGCATTCTGTCATACATAGTTTCAGGGGGCTTGGCCCCAAGACCATGCGACTCTGATGCCTCTCCGGGAACCCATCAACCAGTAGACCTTCCACTGTCTTTGCCGTTCAGTGTAACATTCAGGCGAGCAGCCATTGAGTTAGATTTCCCGGTTTAGAATTTAGCTCCGAGGTCAGAAATGACGGAGCTATATCTCCATTCCCCTGTATGTCTTCATGGCACAGTGCTCAGTTAATGTAAGACAGGTGCAGCTTTTTTTCTTTTCAGTGGCTCTTCCAGCACGTTCAGGCCGAGGCCTCTTATTCAGTTCCGTAACCATTTTCACAGACGGTAGGACTCCTTGGGCGGATGATCAGCACGTCGCAAGGCCTCTGACTAAACACAGAACAACACATACACCAGATAGCCATGCCTTAAGTGAGATTCGAACCCATGATCCCAGCATCCGAGCGAGCGAAGACAGTTCATGCCTTTTACCGCGCAAGGGACAGCTTTACTTTTTTTTTAAATATTTTCGACAAAATTTTCCTTGCGTGTTTAGCTGTAGTTTGTTTAAGGACTTTGGTTAGTACCTCGAGTTATATAGCGTCACGTGGCAGATTAATTGGAAATAATGTGGACCTTTCCGCAAGAACACATGAATACCACGAAAGGCCATAGTGAGGAAAGGCCTCGATTTAAACTTTGCAGCTACCGAACATTGCTCAGAAGTGTTCCCACTTCAACGAACGTGTGTGATCATGTGTTTTGTAATGTCATTGATGTATTGCTTTTGTGTTAACAGGTTTTGTGGAAACGTGGTGGTCCGCAGCAGGAAGGCCCTACTGACCAGGGACTGTATCGCTGCATGGCACGTAACTCAGTAGGGGCCCTAGTCTCCAGGTCCGCTCACCTTCGCGTCGCCAGTAAGTAATTCTGCATGGGTCTTATATACACACGACGGAGACAGAACTTCTCATGTATTTACGTAGTTGGACGAATAGACATTTCTGTTGCCATTTTCCTAATTGGATAAGCTTTGAATTTTGAGTAAAGTTACCTCAGTTCCTAGTGTACCTTAATTTATGTTTTTTTTCCCTCCCCACTGGCTCTGCAGCCCCCGTGGACCCTGATATCATCTTTCAGTTTCATGATCATTTTTACAGACGGTAGGACTCCTTTGACGAGTGATGAGCTCGTTGCAAGGCCTCTACCTAAACAGAGGACAACACATACACACACGAAACATCCATGCCCTCAGTGGGATTCGAACCCACGATCGCAGCATCCGAGCGAGCGAAGACAGTTCATGCCTTAGACCGATCTGCTAATTTGTGGTATAGGCCGTTGAATTCACCGCAAAATTAGCCGTGATTTCGACATTTAATTTTGATTGCCCTCCGCACACTGTTCTATAATAGGGCCATCAGTATAAATACTTAACATTTGCGGCGAAATTAGGTTTGACGTTCTCAGTAAATAGCTATATATTGGAACCATCTGTTAGTCTTTTCCCTCTTCTTGCCTCCTCACCCTCAGGTATACCCCGGCCCCACGTCCACATATTGTTGGCCGTTCTTTTTTTTATTAGAAACACCTCTCTTCTTGTCCTACCGACTGTTCGTTGGGTTTTCCCCGAGCGTAGCCAGGGACACTGGATGCTACTTATACGCAGATCCATCGTTTGTCCTTTTCATTATAAAAACGAATAATTTTCTCTCCTTATGCATTTGGTATTTCGGTCTGTCGTCTATTTTTGGAAGTGGCTCCTTCATGTGTATGAAAATTTTCTTACATGTCTCCATAATTAAGCATCTGTCTGTCTCTCTGTCCGTCCGCCCGTCTGCCTGCTTGCTTATTTATTCCTGTTGGGCCCACTTGGGGTACAGATCATCCGTGAAAAAGCTTCGTTTCACTTCAGTCTCTTAATCTTAAGGTTCGGCCACACAGAGCGCTACGCTATATTCGCTACGTACGCCACGTACGCTGTGTACACTCTGCGACGCAGCTAACATAGGGAACATAGCGTACGTAGCGTACGGAAGTCTGTGTGGCCAGTCACATTGGCAATAAAGGGAGATATTTCTCTGTTCGTATAGCGAACACAGCGTACGTAGCGCTCTGTGTGGCCGAACCTTTAGACAGTCGGTAGGACTCCTTGGACGTTGGATCAGCTCGACGCAAGGCCTATACCTGCACATACAGAACAACACAGAATGAACACACACAAGCATCCATGGCTTGAGTGGGATTCGAACCCACGATCGCAGTGTTTGAGTGGGCGAAGACAGACTGCGCCGCCACCCTGATAGCCCAGGCAGCTGTACTCGTGTATACAGCACTTGACATTCGCCATGAAATGAGGCATGTGCTCAGTCCTTCCTTCATAAGGGATACTCATTTTGTCACGGACTTCTCTTTATGTCTTATATTTGTTGTTGGTTGATTCCGGACCGCCTCTGCTCTAGTGGTCAGCGTTCCTGGTTACAGATCCAAAGGTCCGGGTTCGGTTCCCGGCGCTAGCAGATTTTTTTCGGAGATGTAGTGGGTCTGGAACGGGGTCCACTCAGCCTCGTAATGGTAATTGAGGAGCTATTTCAAGGAAATAGCGGCGCCGGTGTAGAAAGCCGAAATTAACTGCCGCGGGGATTCGTTGCGCTGGCCACGCGACACCCTCTATCCGCAAAAGTTGGCACAAAATTTCGCCGACAAGCGGCGGTCGCTCGGTCGGTATAGTTCGCTTGCGGGCTGAAATCACGGAGTTTTATTTTTGTTGGTTGATTCCGAGTTGCTGATGTTACATTCTGATTCGTACTTTATTGATCTAATTGCATTTCAAAGCGTTACCTTCAAAAATAAAAAAAAAATTATCGTTTTAGCCACATTTCAGGATGTTGTTACATTCTGATTCGTACTTTATTGATCTAATTGCATTTCAAAGCGTTACCTTCAAAAATAAAAAAAAATTATCGTTTTAGCCACATTTCAGGATGTTATTTTAGAAAATAAAAATTTGAATTAAAAGACAAACTCCGTTGTTTTATGTAAGATTTGAGGCTTTCACGGCGGTGACTATGAAGAAAGCAGTCTTCTGGGATTTGGCACCGTGTATATGTGGTGTTANTATACCGACCGAGCGATCGCCGCTTGTCACCGAAGTTAAGTGCCAACATTAGCGGATAGAGGGTGTCGCGTGGTCAGCGCAACGAATCCCCACGGCCGTTAATTTCGGTTTTCTAGACCAGAGCCGCTACTTTTCCTTCGTATAGCTCCTCAATTATCCTCACGAGGCTGAGTGGACTTCGTTGTAACCGTCCGCCGACGTACAGCTGCCACGACTATTACTCGAGATGAGTTCTTTATCTCATGGATACGGGTGCTTCGGATATGGGAGTGGAACACATTTCGGGGTTCATGAATCCGGGGGCTCCAGAACACACCGTGTATTGCAGTCTTAATTTCAAATTTGTTACAGTAATCAGTCTTTATATTATTGCTCCAAGCTAGCCGCTCCGTCACACTTAACCTTTGCACACAAATTTGCCCCGAGCTCCCTGACCATACACGCCACTCCTCAGCTACCATCCGGTAACTCCCTCTTTGAACTGTCCACCTCCGTTCCCTGCAAACAACTGCCCTCTCTTTACAAGTCCCCCAGTTGGCATAAAAAAACGAGAAAATAAAAAGAGAAAGCCAAGGGTCGAGCCCGGAATCTGACCTATATTCGTATTTTTCGAGATGCCCATAAACTTTTTTAGGTCTTCAGGCCACACGAGCAGGGAACCCAGGACCCCTCCCGGCCCGTCCCGCGCAATGTCAGCCCATGGGTTTATGACACTAGGAGGAAACAGGCGACGTTAGGGACTATAGTGAAACCCCAAGCCTAAGGATGACAATACTTGAATTACTACTAGACGGTCCCGGGATGGTATCTCGCCGGAGGAGCGTCTCTCATGGTGAGAAACAGTGCCTCAATTCGACATGCTCTTAATTAAATAATTTTGGCGAGGGACGTACGGTTACACCGTTCCAGACCCACTGCTTCTCAGAAAATCTGGTAGCCCCGGGAATCGAACCCGGATGTATGTATCTGTATCCTGGAACTCTAACCAGTAGACCACAGAGGCGGTCTTGAATTTATGTTAAAGAAAATGACCCCGAAGCTTGTTAGCCTAACTAATGTCATTCTGTATTTCAGCATCCTGTTGTAATTGTTTAACTTAACGTCCATGTATTTATCGTCCGTCAGTATTGCAACACTTGTTTATTCACTACTTAATTTTAATTTAACATTATACACTTTGACACTACATGTTTCGGCCCCTAACGGCCATCTTCAGGTGTCTTGATATGTTACAAATATTTTATTAAATTATGCGAAAACTGCTACACTGTCTTAGTTCGTGTTAAAATCACACGCTGCAGTCCTCTTTTCAAGGTTAAACCAGACAAAATCCTTTAAAGTTTCTATTATACCCACGTTATTTTGGTGCATTTTATTTCATCTCGCACGGGGCGTCGTCGTCCATTGTTCATAAATGTATGTCTGTCCAGGGTGTTTTGTATTGGCAGCTTGCCCCTCACGTTCGTAGCGTACTTTTCAGTTATGACTGCCATGTGCCCCTGGTTTGCGTGTTTCCTCCACAGCGTGTGGTGTTGCCTTTACTAATGTTAAACTAAAATTAAAATTAAGAAGTGAATAAACAAGTGTTGCAATATTGACGGACGATAAATACATGGACGTTAAGCTAAGTGATGTCTTTATACTATTTCAGTGAATATGAACGTGTTTGATGACTTCCATTTACGCGTACGTGTTTCAGAATAACCACGTACTCTTGTCGAAAGGAATAAGGCTTATAAATTAAAGCTTGGTAACTCGAGCTCTGCACTGCTAATTTAACTGACGTGCCTGTACAGACAAGCCTGCAGTGCAGTTGGAGGAACTTTAGCGTCTCTAGGCTTTTGGACGTACACCCGCCACATTCTGACGTCCCGAACACATTTTATGGTCATGGTTACCGTAAAATAAATCAAGGTTAGGTTCTTATTGTCACGGCCCGAGTGCTTTTCACGTCGGTCGGTCACGTAACTTCGCTTTTGGTATTGAGAGTGTATTGTGCTAGACATCAGGGCGAGTGATGAAACGAATTACAAGGGATTCGGAAGGAAACGTTCGTGGCAGAATCGAGGCAGTGCCCCCGTATTTGCTTGAAAGGACAGAGGGAAATCAGCCAGGATAGCCAGTGTCCCAGTAGAGATTGGAACCCAGCACACTGCGAATACAGGTCTAGAACGTTACATCTTGACCAACTAGTTCCGTCCGATGCTTTTTGATGAGTGAAGGAGCAAGGTGAAAGTGTAAAGCTATCCCTATAACAGGCCGTGGAGGCTCCCACATTTTCTAGACAATCGGCTCACAGATGGCGATGAGGTTGTCATCCTTACGCTCTGGCCGCACCTTTACCCTCAGGATGATTCCTGGTACTCATTTCTGTTAGAGACTGAATCGACTCCCGGGCCATAGTGCGGCTGGAAGGATTAGGTACATTGAAAAAATCCAGTGACATCGGAAATCGAACTAGGGACCTTTCGGCTTGTAGCATAGTGCCTCAACCAACTACGTTACCGCGTGCCCCTCATGAATTAAAAAAAATAAGCAAGGAAACTTATTTAGACTCGAACCCAAGCGTGAAGCAGCAATATCCATTGATTTTCCGGCGTTGTATATCCAAAGGAACCTTTTGCTTGTCCTTGTCCTTACATTTCTTTCTGGCAGCTACAGCGTGGGGCGGGCTGCTGCTGTTTGACTTTTTACACATATGGATTGCATTTCAGGTCGGCGAAAAATACCGCTTTTCGGAAAGAGTTCTGAGATACAAAGCTGTGTAGTCCGGTGAACGTCAACCGACGTTTCAGAGCATTC